GGTAAAAATCAGACAAAAACAAGATTCTAAAAATGGCAATAGAGAAATGAATGATGCAGGATAGAAAAGAATGGGAAGACATATTCGAAACACTAAAAGAAAGACAATTGGAAACAAGAATACTATACCTGGCAAGATATCCTTCAAATGGAAAAAAGGTTAAAATCATTCTCAGAAAAACTAAAACTTCATCAATACTAGACCAGCTCTTCAAGAAGTACTGAAGGGAGTACTATATCAGGAAAACTAAAGAGCCAACAGGAATAAGAACCAAAAAAAAACCAAGGAAATGGCCAACAAAATGGCAGGGACAAGTCTGTAAATATCAATAATAATGTTGAATATTGATGGATTAAAGTCTTCAATCAAAAGACAGACTGGCTGAATGGATAAAAAGCAGAAACCCTCTATTTACTGTCTACAAGAAATGTACTTCATGGATAAAGACATACATAGTCTAAAAGTGAAAGCTGGAAAAAGATATTGCATGCAAATAGAAATTTTAAAAAGTCTGGAGTAGTGATACTGATATCAGACAAAATAGGCTTTAAGACAAAAACTGTAAGAAGAGACAAAGAAAGACACTACATAATGCAAAAAGGGCTAATTCACCAAAAAGATATGACCCTTATAACTATCTATGCACCCAACTTTGGCACACCAAAATACATGAAAGAAAGACTGCTAGATCTAAAGCGAGAGAGAGACTGCAAAGCACTAATCATTGAGGAGCTCAACAACCCATGATCTCCTTTGGATAGATCATCTAGACAAAAAATAAGCCAATATATATAGGATCTAAATGACACAAATGAATGGACTTGACAGATGTCTATAAAACTTTCTACCCAACAACCACAAAATACACACTTTTCTCACTCTTGCATGGTCACTCCTTTCGAAGACTGACCACATGAAAAGGCACAAAACAAGCCTTTCTAAATGCGAAGGCATAGAAACTATATCCAACATCTTCTCTGACCATGATGGAATTAAACTTGAAATTAATATCCAGGGACCAGCAGTAAGCGTAATGACTATGTCGCTGGACTCCCATGTAGTTGACCGCGGTTCACATCCCAGACCTGCTGGCTTAAAATTTATGCCGGGTGCGTGTGCGTGCATGCCCAAGATCCCGAGAGGAGAATGGAAGAGAAGGGATTGCGGCGTGACCATCCCCCCCCTGGGGGGTGATTTCTCGCTTTCTGTCTCTCTGTCTCTCTCTGTCTGGTGAGTGCACGCGCCCTATAGCAAAAACCTCTTAAAAAAATTAATATCCAAAAAAATCCCTCAAAAATATACAAACATATGGAAACCAAACAACCTACTCTTGAATGACTTCACAATCAGAGAAATTATGACTGATATCCAAAGAGTCATTAAAACCAATGGCAATGAATACAAGAGTTTCCATAATCTAGAGGACACAGTGAAAACAGTCGTAAGAGGGAAGTTTATAACAACTAGAGTACATAAGAAGATGAAAAGATGTCAGATAGGCAAGCTAACAACACCTCAAGGAACTACAAAATTAACAACAATAAAATTTTAGGAGATAAAAAAAGATAAAGATTCAAACTGAAATAAATGAAACAGAGAATAAACCATAAAGAAAATAAATGAAACCAAAAGTTGGTTCCTTGAGAAGATAAAGCTGATACACTGTTAGCTAGACTAATAAAGGAAAAAGAAACCAGATAAGTCAAATTTGTAATGAAACAGGCAATATTGCAACAGATGTAACAGAAATGCGAAAGATCATTATGAGCAACTATATTCCAGAAAACAAGAAAACCTGGATGAGATGGACAGATTTCTGGACACATACAATCTACTGAGACTGAATCAGAAAAACAGCCTGAATAGACCAATAACAAGTAATGAAATTGAACTACTAATAACTAACCTTCCAATAAAGTAAAGCCCAGGTCCTGATGGCTTTACTTCTGAATTCTACAACATTTTTAAAGAGCTAACCACTATTCTACTGAAGCTATTTCTGAAGATCCAAAAAGAATCCTCCCAAAGTCATTTTATGGAGCCTCCATCACCCTCATACTCCCAAAAGACAATGATATAACAAAAATCAGATCAATATATCTCTTGAATACAGATGCAAACATTCTCAAGATACTAGTAGATCACATTCAATGACACATTAAATAGATTATACACCATGACCAGGTAGGCTTTATTGCAGGGATGCAAGGATGGTTCAACATTTGCAAACTGTAAATGTAACACAGCATATTAACATAAAGAAAGATAAAAACCATATGATCATATCAATCAATGCAGAAAAAGTGTTTGATAATATACACTATCCCTTCATGAGTAAGGCTCTCAGCAAGATTGGCAACAGAAAGGACATTTTTCAACACAATAAAACCCATAAATAATAGACTCATAGCTAATACCATACTGAATAGAAAAGTTTTCACTGGATCAAGACAAGGCTGCCCACTTTCTCCACTACTTTTGAATACAGGGCTGAAAGTCTTAGCCAATGCAATCAGAGAAGAGAGTAAAATGAAAGGTATCAAGGCTGCCCACTTTCTCCACTACTTTTGAATACAGGGCTGAAAGTCTTAGCCAATGCAATCAGAGAAGAGAGTAAAATGAAAGGTATCCAAATATGAAAAGAAGAAGTGAAATTATCTCTAGTTTCTGATGAAAGGATTATATACATAGAAAATCCAAAAGAATCCACACACAAAGAAAAACAAAACAAACACACACAAAAAACACACAACACTCCTGGAAGTGATAAATGAATACAGTCAAGTGGCAGGATACAAAACCAACATACAAAAATCTGTAGCAGTTCTATACACAAACAAGGAGCAAACTGATGTAGAATTGAATAAAGTAATCACAGTTACAATAGCCACAAAAAGTATAAAATACCCAGAATAAACCTAACCAAAGTAGTCAAAGACAACTAAAAGGAAAAATATGAAAGACTATAAAAAGAAATTGAATATGACACAAAAAAGGGGAAAGACATCACATATTCCTGGATTGGAAGAATTAATTACAAGAATTAATTAATTACAATTAAAATGTCAATCCTACCCAAATTAATCTATAAATTTAATGCAATCACAATCAAATTACTAGAAGTAGTCTTCATAGATTTAGAAAAAACATCATAGAATTAGCATAGAATCACAAAAGACCCTGTATTGCCAAAGCAATTCTGTGCAAGAAGAGTGGAGTAGGGGGCATCTCACTCCTTAACTCTAAAACATATTACAAAGGTATGATAATCAAAACAGTATGGTACTGGCACAGAAACAGGCATGTGAACTAATGCAAGAGAACAGAGATCCCAGAAATAAACTCCAAAAGACACAGCCTACTAATTTTAACAGAGATTTTTGCTATAGTGCACATGCACCTGCTGGAGAGACAGAGACCGAAAACAAGAAATCACTCCCTGTGGGGATGACCATGCCTCAATCCCTTCTCCTCCAGTCTCCTCTAGGGATTTTGGAAACTCACGCATAATATGTGTCCAGTCTGTGTTTTAAGAAGCCATTTCTGGGACTTGAACCATGGTCAACTACATGAGAGTCTAGCAACAAAGCCATTTTGCCATTTGCTAGTCCCCAGGCAACCTATTCTTGACAAAGGGCATCAGTCAATCCAGTGGGGGAAAATATAATCTTAGTAAACAGTGATGGAAAAGTTGAGTATCTATCTGCAGAGATATGAAATTGGACCCCTCTCTTTCACCACTGACAAAATTCCACTCAAAATGGATCAAAATTCTAAACCTAAGACCTCAAACTATAAAACTACTGGTGAATAACACAGGGAAAACACTTGCAATATCAAAGGAAAGAGTTCTTGAATAAGGGACCAGCAGTTAGAGTAATGGCTATGTCGCTGGACTCCCATGTAGTCAACTGCGGTTCGAGTCCTGGACCCGGTGGCTTAAAATTCATGCCAGGCGCATGTGCATGCATGCCCAAGATCCCAAGAGGAGAATGGAGGAGAAGGGATTGCGGTGTGGCCATCCCCCCTGGGGGGAGGGGAATTCTCATTTTTTTTCTGTCTCTCTCTCTGTCTGTCTGGTGAGTGCACGTGCCCTATGGCAAAAACCTCCCCCCCCCAAAAAAAAAGAGTTCTTGAATATAACCCCCAAAACAAATAATTTCAAAAATAGAGAAGTGGGACTACATCAGGTTAAAAAGCTTCTGCATAGCCAAAAAACAATTAGAATGAACCAGCAACACTCAGAATGGGAGAATGTATTTGCAATCTATGCTTCAGAAAAGGGACTGATTACCAGAATATACAGGGAACTCAAGTGGCTTACTGGGAATAAAAATAAGCAGCACAACTGAAAGATGGGTGAAGGAGCTGAATGGACAACTCTCTATGAAAAAAATGTTCAACATTCCTTATCATAAGGGAGATGCAAATCAAAACCGCAATGAGAAACCACCTAATCCCAATAAGAATGGCTAAGATTAAAATAATAAAAAAATCTTAAGTGCTGGGAAGGCTATGGTGAAAAGGGAACTCTCCTACACTGTTGGTGGGAATGTAAATTAGTACAGCCATTATGGAGAACAATATGGAAGCTCTTCAAAACCTACAAAAAGAACTACCATATAATCCAGCAATTCCACTTCTGTGTATCTAACCAAAGGATAGGAATACACTCAGTCAGATAAGTAGCTGCACATGTATGTTACTGCAGCATTATTCACAATTCACAGACATGGAACCAAGAGAAATAGCCAAACAGATGAATGAACTGAAAAAGTGTGGCACATAGGCATTATGGAATACTACTCAGTCATAAAAATCAATGAGACCTTGGCATTTGATAGAAAGTGGATAAATATAGAAGAATTAATGCTAAGTGAAGCAAGCCAAACTATGAAAGAGCAAACAGCAAATGAAGACACATCTATTGAGAACAAATCTACAAAAATTCACTGAGATAGTTGAGAATTTGAGGTGTTTGAATCAGGACTGCTACTTACCAGCTCAGCCAGGGAGAGTCTCCACGCCAGACTGCTGCGGCCAGGAACATAGGGCTCCCTCTCCTCCAAGTGTCCAGTCAGAAGGCTTTCTTCCCAGTAGAGGCAGAATTTGTGTATTTTCCATCCTACAACCAGGTGCCTGTTATGAGAACCAGGTGATTATAAGCAAGAGGCGCGGGTTCCCTTCTGCTTAGCAGCACTCATGGAGCAGAGGCTTTGTCTTGGTATAATACGCTGAGGACACAGGATCAATAGCCTCTGTCTTGGTTGGTGAGGTAAGAACTCCATGCCAGGAAAGTAAGCCAGGACTTCAGCTGCAGCTGCCCACCCCTTACAATCTAAGTGTCTTCTGAAAAAAGTTTGCCATTGTTCCTGCCTCCTGCTTCTAAGCACTGGCCCAGCAATTGTGCCTGGGGGGTAAGATACCTTCTTTTGGGATAGCTCCTAATGTTTTTCCCCCAATACTGACTTAATTCACAACAAAAAGTGGAAAAATTTAAACATAAAGGTGCTCTCAAGTGTGGTGGAGATTGTGGGAAAAGGCAATGAGGAACAGATTTGTGGATTTAATAAGGATACAGCCTGGCTAGTTTACAGTGAGAACCAGAGAATTAGACAACTGGGAGTGGCTTCCCTAGTGTCAGAACACACAAAACTACACTGACTCAGAGACCATTCCTTCAAGGGAGCCACTATTTGATTGGATTCACTTGTAGATCAATTTATGTCCCAGAGAACTGCTGGAGGCAATACAGCAATCACCTAGTAATTAGTGGAGTTCACCAGCTGGGTGTGGCCAGAAACTGAAAGCCCCACCAAATCCACTGTCATTCCAGGGTGACACAATGTGGCATTTTCCTCAAAAACTACTTTAGAGGCTTAACACTGTGTGTGTTTCAGGGTGGGGTAGGGAGGAGTGGGGAGTGGAGAACTGACAGAATTAGACTTCACTAAAAATACCCTAGGGCATTACTAAAAATAAACTAATAACATAATTAAAAAACACTAGGAATGTGTGAGCACAGAGAAAAGAAGGCCACAGTAAGAAGGTGGCCATCTGTAAGGCAAGGAGGGGGACATCAGAAAAACTCAAACTTGCAGACACCCAAATCTCAGACATTGAGCACCAGAACTGTGAGAAAATTCATTTCTATTGTTTAAGCAGCAAACAAAAAACCAAGTTCAAGATTGGAATAGGAAGTCAGAAGGTCCCAGTATCCAGTTGCTACTATACAAAAACTAAAACTTCCAGTTAAAAAAAAAAAATAGTGAGGCATACACAGAAACAGGAAAATATGACCCATATAATGGAAAATAAAACCAAATAGGCAATAGAAACTGCTTGTGAAAGTGCCTGGATGTCGGATTTAACAGAAACGGGCTTAAAATCATTATAAGCATATTCATAGAATTAAAAGAAAATGTGCTTATAGATGTAAAGGAAAAATATAATTTTGCATCAATAGGAGAGAATCCCAATTTTACCACCCTAAAACATTGCCTGTTATTCACTGATTCAACAGCCCTCATTTCCCCAACTTCCAGGCAACCACTATCGTTTTTATTATCTCTATAATTTGCCTTTTTCAAAATGTTGTATAATTGAATAGTATGTCGCCTTTTCAGACTTGCTTCTTTCATTAAAAACTATGCATTGGACCAGCAGATGACATGAAGGTTGAGGCTCTGGATTCCACATAACCAGCTTCACAGTTTGAGTCCTGGAACCAGCAGTTTGAAAATCATGCCAGGCACATTTGTCTATGTGACCAAATCCTGAGAAGAGAGTAGAGAAGAGGGATTGTGCTTGGCCATTCCCCCTGGCCAGGAGGGAGAACTGATTTCTTATTTTGCACCCTAGCAACCTCCAATCTGTCTCTGTCAAGCTCACACACTATATAGCAAAAATTAAAACAATGCATTTAAGATTTCTCATGGTTTGATAACTCATTCTTTAGATCACTAAATAATATTCCATTGTATGGACATACTACAGTTTATTCATTTACCCAATGAAGACTATCTGCACTGGTTGGAGCCTTTGGTGATTAATAGGGCTACTACAATATTAGCAGGAAATTAATTATTTAATATAGATCTATTAATTATTTATAATAATTAATTATTTATTATAGCTCTGTGTAGGTTTTTATGTGAATAAAATTTTCAAATGACTTGGGAATATATAAAAAGAGAATAATAGCTGGGCCATATGTTAAAAGTATGTTAATTGTAAAAGCTGTCAAACTATCTTCCAAAATGGCTACACGATTTTACATTAGCATCCTTTTATTGAGCTTGTATACGAATATTTTCTCACTATCTATGGTTTACCCCTTCATTCTCTTAGCAGTGTTTATCATAGAACAAAAGTAAGGTGATAGTTGACTTGAATAGTACTATCAATCAAATTGGCCTAGTTGACAGTTATAAAATACTCCATACTCTAAGGCTGGCAGGTAGCATGCTAGTTGGGATGCTGGACTCCCATATGACCAACTGGGTTTGAGTCCTGAACCTAGTGGCTTGCTTTTTCACTTTCCCTTTTTTTCTCTCTCTCTGGACAAATTAAAAACATAATAATAATAATAATAATGAATAAAATTAAATAATTCTTCAAAAATATATTTCATACTCTATGCAACAATAAATACATATTCTTTTCAAGCTCACATACACTTTCCAAAACAGACCACATTCTGAGTCATAAAACACACTTGGAAAAACCTGAACCAAAGAAAAGAAATCATACAAAGCACACTAGAAATTAACAGCAATTAAACTAGAAATTTATAACAGAAAGATAGATGGAAAATGTCAGAATAATTGGATATTCTCTAGAAACATGGGGATCAAAAAGGAAGTCTTGCCTTTTGGCCAGAACTGCCATTTTCCAGTAATTCACCAAAATGATGAACACAAAGGGAAAGTTTTTTTTTGAGGAGAGGCATCCAATATATGTTCTCTAGGCCTTTTAGAAAACATGAAGGGGTTCCTTTGGCAACACACACATGAATCTACAAGAAAGGTGATACTGTAGACATAAAGGGAATGGGTAATGTTCAAAAAGGAATACCCATAAATGTTACCATGGCAAAACTGGAAGGGTCAATAATGTTACCCTGCTGACATTGTTGTAAATAAACAAGGGCAAGATTCTTGCCAAGAGAATTAATGTGGGTATTGAGCATATTAACATTCTAAGAGCAGAGATAGCTTCCTAAAACGTGTGAAGGAAAATGATCAGAAAAAGAAAAAAAGTCAAAGAGAAAGGTACCTGGGTTCAACGGAAGCGCTAGCCTCCTCCACCCAGGGAAGCACACTTTGTGAGAACCAATGGAAAGGAGCCTGAGCTACTGGAACCTATTCCCTATGAATTTGTGGCATGATGGGTGTTAAAAATAAACTAATCTATAGTCTATATAAAAGAAAAGTCATCTTGGGAAAAATTAAAAATATTTTGAAATGAGTAATAACGAAAATGCCACTAATCAAGATGTGTGGAATCCAACAAAAGAACTTAGAGAAAAATGTATACCACTTAAATCCTCATGTTAGAAAAGATGAAAAATCAAAACTTTATGATCAAAACTTTGACCTTAGGAAATTGTTAAAGGAAGAATATATTTTAAGCACTCAATAATAAAAATTACAGCAGATACCATTGAAGTTTAGAACTGGAATAGAGAATATTAATGGACCAAAAACTGGTTCTTTGAAACAATCAATAAAATAGATAAAACTAGAGACAGTCCAACAAACCAACAAGGAAAAGAAGACACATTTGTTCATATCTGAAATGAAATAGGGCCATCACTATTGATCCTATGGATTTAATAATAAAGAAATGCTATACACAACTTTTTTTTTTAGGTTTGTGCCATAGGGTGTGCATGTGTTTTCCAGAGATACAGAGAGAAGGAAAATGATAAATTACCCCTGGCGAGATGGCCACACCACAATCCCTTGTCTCTCATTCTCCTCTCAGGATTCTGGGCAAGTGTACACATGCATCCAGAGTGATTTTCAAGTGTTCCATTCTGGGACTCAAACCATAGCTCACACTACCTGGCAGCTCCCTATTACACACAACTTTTATATACAAATTTTTTAACTTAGATGAAAGGGACTAATGGCCTGGAAGACACATTTATTGGGTGGCTCTGTTTCCCAGGTCTAATGTTTCTTCTCCTGGGAGCAGACCAGCAGGTCTGGTATTTTTTTTTTTTTTCTTTTTAGAGATGGCAGCAGCTCAGTAGAACAAGTAGTCACACGACATATAAAAATTTTAAGGCCTGGGGCCAGTAGGTGGCAAAGTGTTTTAAGAAGTGAGACTCCCACATGGTTGACTGCGGTTTTAGTCCCATATCTGGTAGCTTAAAACTCACGCAAGGCACTTGTGCATGCATGCTCAAAGTCTCCAGAGGAGAATAGAAGGGAAAAGGCTGGTATGGCCATCCCCTCGGGGGGCGGGGGTTTCTTGCTTTCTGTCTCTCTGTCTCTCTTTGTCTCTCCAGTGAGCTCCCATGTCATAAAGCAAAATTCTCTAAAAAAAATAAAAATAATCTCAAGGCCTAGGTTAATAACTAGCTCACTGTGATGTCTGTCTTGTTTTATTGATCCAAAAAAGTCATATGGCAAAACCCAAAGTCAGAGGGCAAATATCCATAAATAAGAAGAATCTTTAAGCTGGAGAAACAAAACAGTTATATAGCAAAAGATTTGAATATTGGAAGGAATGAAGAATTTGAGCCAATAATAAAAGGGATCTTTAAAACTTTACAGAAAATGTGCATTATAAAATAACTGTGCATGGATTTCAAAATGTTTTCCACCATAACAAACCTGTACTTTAAATATATTTTTAAAAAGTTTATTCATGACATACAGTGTATGTGTATGCATGTGAGAGAGAAAGAGGAGAGAAGACCCCCATTGGGGTCTGGTCATGTTGTGATCTCCTTTCCCCGGCCCTTCAGCTTGTCAAAATCCTGAGCACATGTGCAGAGGTTGGTATATTTCATGTCATCTGGGTTGGGGATCCAAACCTATGGTTGGCCATGTGGCTTCCAGCACCTCAATTTAGTATGTTACTATCTGTGCTATCAAGGTGGGGCCTGAAGTCG